AGCCAAATTGACCTTTAGACACCCTGATATTAATACATCTCTCGGAGTTCATCCACTATTAGAGAAGTATAAGATGTTGACCAAAAAGCACATAATTAAGACACGATGTCACATAGAAGATGATTGAAGATATACAAGCACATAGAAACTGTACAAGTCTGGGACGCTTTAGTGAAAATAATTGCCTTCACGGTATAACTATCTAATATTCCTTACCATACTCAGTTATCATATATATACAACTGTATCTACACTAACGAACTTGAGCAGAACAATCTGAACGATATCATGCTAGACAACATGCAGCATCCAACCTCCAATCTATCAACAATTGGCTTTCCATCATGTGGATAATGTTTCCTGCACTTGCAAAAACTTTACTACATTTTACTCCAGCATTTCTACATGGGAAGTGACCTTGAACAACTTAGCACCATGCACACCGAGGAGACTGACCATTGAGGCTCACGAGGTTCTTCCACGACGTTGCGGTACCAGCTGTCTTGCAGTCTTCAATACCAACAATCCTCTGCTTCCAGGTCTCAACGTTTTCAGAGGTCGAGCATGGCACTCAAGCTGGTTGATGGATGTTAGGCATCTGTTAGAATGCACGTCTACGTTGCAGGGCAGGAGTCCCTGCTAGTCGGTAGGCTGTGGAGAAACCATCTTTCGAGTGGAAACTCTGCTCATATTCGAGAATGACACTTAGCATTGCTACCTCTTTCAGTACCTTCACTAAGTAATTCAATCTTCTGTTGCGAGTCATGGCGAGAGAGGGTTAGGTCAACTTCCCGAAGTGTTTCAGCAACTTTTAGGCCTCTGCCTTTAAGAGCTGTACTGTGTTGTACCAACTTTGCTGTTATGTCACACCTCTAGACTTGTATAGCCGCATACTGCCGACAGAGCGGTATACCCGAGGCGCTGGAACAGCGTTATGAAGGTGTATTATTCGGTTGTATTCTCCCACTTCGCTTCGCACCCACAGCGACTCAAGGTGTTTTGGCTGAAGAACGGGCAGTAGTAGCGCAGAGCAGCAATACTATACTGCTATCGTGGAGATTACAACAACACTTTGTGTCCTGCATTGAGAGAGTCCAAGCTGGCAATGAGTATTCGGAACGTCACTTCTTTTATATGACGATTTAAGTGTGCCATCTTTTTCCGGCCTTGCATGCGCATGATTGCACTGCCAAAATCCTCGTCTTCTTTGTCACTTGTCCGCAATACAGTGGGATATTGTAATCGGTTTCTAAAGTATGTTGAACGAAGATGGCGTAGATTAGCTTCTCGAGATAAGCTTATTCGATGTCTTGACGGCCAAGAATCGTCTCCATCTCTTGCGCAAAGGTGAACATGAGTCTCTGTTCAAGTGAAACTTCTCTATTGGTACGTTTTAGTGCGCCCTCTTTTTTCATATCCTTCATGAGGGTTCATCTGAGAGCCCAGATCGAACACATAGTCACATCGCCCGAACTGATGGATCTACATCGAAATAGATCAAATCATAAGAGGGATCTTGCAGCTGCGAATAGGCCTTAGTACACTAACCTTACGAACTGCGTGACTTTATGTCTATGACATATGAAGTTTCTTCACGATGTCTATACCATTTAGTCCTCAGGTTAGTGATTGTCTCCAACTCCTTAGATCACAGGCTCCTTCCTGGCTTGACCATCGGCCCGTCTCATTCAACAGAGAGGTGAAGGCAAATCATATTATCAAGAGCGTCCGCGGTGTTGCACGAATCACGGGCGATTTTCAATTCTTTCCCTAACATTCATCTCCTTCACTGCTTTTCCTCGAGGTCTTCTGCGGCTTTTTCGATTTTTTTCATTGTTTTCAGTTTGCTCGATGACTACTTTCACAAATCTTGTGGTTTCCTGTACAAACATTGGTTGGTCAAATGCAAGTATTCTTCTCTGTGCGAAGGCACTCAGTTATGTCATTTTTTATTGATTCTTTGCCATGATCTTCTTTCTCACGAAATTATGCAGCAGGGGGAGCCCTTAGGAACGCGGGGAAGCCTTTCTCGTCAATGAATTATTTACCTTGCCTGGATATGGGACTCCTGCGAACGTGTAGTAGCTTTGGGATGACCCGTGTGGTTAAGGAACGTGTGTCCCTCCATCAATCAGCATGTCTCCAATGACAGATTCTTTACTCGCCATCATATTCATGGTTATATCAAGTCCCATTGGCAGATCGTATGCCTTCTGACTTGGCAATGCCGATGATTCCGTCACTGCATTTATATGATTAGGTTTATACTTGACTCAAGCTTATGGTCACACCGACTGACGTGAACGGTCCTGGGTTTCTCCTTGATGGAAAAGTCCTATTTGAAGTTTCACTGCACTGTGGTGCAGTTTGAATAACGCCACATTGTCTTCGCAGGTCGCGACCACGAAGATATGTTGGTCGAGTCAAACGCCGCGGAATAAGTTAGAGCCGTTGGCCCGCATCAGGTGAGTTCCATAATCCCTCACGATTTGCTTTCAAAGATATGCACCAGTCATCATGCGGCGAACTGAGCCCAGCATCTAAGTTCTCAATTCACAGCGAGCCGTACGTTTCGCGATGACGTATTCAGATCTTCGAATAACTTGGTTAGATGCAGTTGCACGTAGCCTGGCATAACTTCGGACTGGCGTGACGTTCTTCTGCGTAACACTTGGATTTGAGCGTCATCCAGATGCAAGCTCATTGTGAATATTGCTCAACACTCTCTTCGCCATAATTCTTTGTAGGTAGACCCCCTGGCAACGTTTCAGAGCGAGTTGCATGCCTTCAGACAGCGGCTGTAGTGTCCTCATGAGAACTAGAGTTCGATAATGGCTGAGCAAAGCCCGGCTGTAGGCCAGGTCCTTTCGGCTTCATCTTCCACCGAGGGTTTTCCAATGCACTTCAAACAGTTTTCACCAAGGTGTAATGTCCCAGCATTGGACTAGAGTGCTGATTTCCCTGCCGTTATCAATTATTCCTTGACTATACAGATTACCCTTCCGTAAATCTTTGATTTCTGTTAACCAGTGTGAACACCATGGAATGAAATTATACATCGCAGTAAACTTTGCATACTCAGTAACAGTAGGGCAGACAGGCAGAATGCGATAGGTTCTTTTCTGGAGTTTGCTCTGTCCACAGCGTGCTGTGCACTCCAAGAAGCTTGTTTGTCATGATGGATAATGGACGCACCTTTATTTTGGGGACATCTAGCGGCAGGACAGATAGTATTCTTATTTTTAGCTGCATCACGTTACAGAGCAATAACGTCGTTCTCACTAATCATGGATAGCAGGAAGGTCAGGAGCGGCAGCTTTGTGAACTCTGAGAGAATTTGAATGCGTAGAGTTTTGCTTAAACACGCTTTTTTGCCGTCTGACCTGAGTGTCAGAAATCTTTGGGTTTACGGGTTGGATGATGACGTTTGTCTTGGTAAAGTACAGTCATGTCGCATGCTCGATACATTTGTACCCTCATGATTCGTAATTTTCAATGGCCCAGAATGTGAATGCTAAGGGTCAAACGTGACGGTATGCAACCGCGGTTTTGGTTGTCTGTGCCGGTGAAGATCATGCGCAGATATGTTAGTACCTTACGCCAAGCTCTGGTAGCTGCATTGAAGTCCTTCAATGGTTATGGTTAGTGGTCCATTTTGCCTCCGCGTCCAAGACCAAGAACATGATTCCGACATTGCATATAGCATGTGGTGTTTCCTTCTCGTCCTTCTTTTTGTCCACCTGTTACAGTTCTTATGCTTGTATATCTTCAATATCTTTCTATGCACAATTCGTCTCATAATTAATTCGCTTTGGCCAGATTCTTTATTCTTCTAATAGCTGCTCGCAAATGTCAATAATGTTGTCCATCAATCCTTGCGTGATCAAAAAACCTATATAGTTGCCACAAAAATCCTTCCTTCGTCATTTACTTTTACGGACTGTTTCATCTTTGACAATTCGTAAAACGCTTTTGGGACGCGGTAGGGTTGACCCTGAGTTCATCGCCCCCGTGCATCATTAGAGTGGGACAGCATTTTTGACAGGTTGGGGTCCTCTGAGAGCACTTAGATAAGAGAAACTTTTGCAATTTTATAGCTCTAGCTACCAATATTGGTATCGTGAGAAAGCATCTACCTTAGAGCTTACTTTCAAATCCTGAACCCGATTTTTACTATTTTGTTGAGCTGAAATTGTAGAAATGTAGCACATTTTCGATCCTAGGAAACAACGTTTATGCAACAAATCACTGACTAGAAGTTATTAGTTACTCATTATGTGAGGTATTCAATGTCGCAAAATAAATTGTCAAATACGCAACTTTTTCGGGGTGGCAGCACGGTCGCGGGTGTCATGGCGCCGTTCAAATTTCGTAGCATTGATATGAAATTAATTATAACAATTAAATTAGGTATCTGGTAACAAATGCGTGTGGGTATAGACGATTTGTTATACAGTAAGTACAGCTGTATACAGTAAAATCCTAGAGGCTACTGTCCCTTTAACGAATTACCATGACTGTACATCTATCTTGTATTATAAGCTGTTTATTTCATTGTTTAGTGTAAATATCTCCTCAATGGCTAATGCCGTAGCAGTTATAATGGGTTTGCCACAGTAAGTGGAGTAAATTTATCTATTCAGATTACTTTTCAACAATATAGTATCTGTGTGTGATTACAGGGCCCTGTGTGTGTATCTGTGTGATGCCAGCATTTTCTCTGCCTACAAATGTTAGAGACATTTTTATTCTTTTAAACATAATGTTTTTCAGGTTACCTACATCTCGTCAAGATGACAAAACTCAATTTCTAGAGTTTGTGTGCTCTTCACCACATACACTCGTTTAGTACCAACAAATGTTATTAAAACGATGTTAGTTAAAACGAAGTTTGGCAGAAGTGGTTTTTTTAGACCTAGACTACAATTTTACATTTGTGTTACAGTGTAATTCTTATAAATGTGTTGAGTATTTATCTACTGCACTGCATTTGCAGGAAACCGGTGGGTTATTGCGAATCTATCCAGAAGGGCAGAATAGGATTGCTGAGGTGGAACCACTGTTTGACCGCCTGCTGTTTTTCTGGTCAGACAGACGTAACCCTCATGAGGTGCAACCTGCCTATGCTGTCAGGTAAGCATTGCCATGACGATGGTCGACAACACATCAGCATTATGACAGACAGATCCGCCGAGTTCAAACAATGAAGGTTTAGTCATTGAAATCTGGACCGTCACAATGCAGAACGTGAATTGAGACGGAAACTGCGTGTTGTGCATGTACGTGGGTGGAGACCCCTGCCCCTCCACTCAGTGTTATTTAGGGTACGCATATGCTCGTTCCCTCCCTTTGAAAGCACCCCCCTATCTCAGGACTGCTAAAATTTCTGAACCCCCTTTCGCGGGCTTTTTGCGGGTTTTTCCTGCCTTGGAGACCCCCCTAAATCCGGAACACTGCTCAATGTACCCTAGAGAGAGAGAGAGAGAGAAAACGGAAAAAGACGCAGACAGAGCGAGAGGCACTAATGTCCGATGATTTATATCTGAGGCACTAATGTTGATATATATATATACATATATGCTATATATATAATGTATACTATATAATATGTATATACATGTACATCGCTGCGCCTGCGTTGCACCAGACGTCCCAGCCAATGGCTTTCTTCTCTCTCGCTCTCTCTCATCTCTCTCTCCCTGTCTCTTCTTTTCTCTCTCTTAAAGCCGCACTATGCGCATCCAAACGCTAATTTCTCCAGTACTAGACTAGCAAATACTTCGTGTCATGCATAATCACACTACCTTATGACAAAATCAACTCTAGTTGCTCCCATTTTACTGCGCGTTTGCTTAAAACCCACAAGAAAGAGGTGAGAAAACTAGCATTCTGGCGCAAACGCCGACTGTTTGCCAAACAATTTAGCCTCGAAGTGGTAATCTTTGCTACACCCGTACCGCTGTACCGCAGCACCGCGCTGTGCGGTTGCTTGGCAGGGCAACGCGAAAGTGTCAACATAATCTGAAAATTTGAACAACATTGGAGGTATTTTCAAATACCTTTTATAAGACAACGCGCTGTGAAATGGGAGGAACGAGAGTTTATTTTGTCATAAGGTAGTGTGATTATGCATGACACGAAGTATTTGCTAGTCTAGTACTGGAGAAATTAGCGTTTTTAATGCGCATTGTGCGGCTTTAAATAGACGCTTACACGCGCACGCGCGCACACGCAAATAATCTCCATCTCTCTTTCTCTCTCTCTCTCTCTCTCTCTCTCTCTCTCTCTCTCTCCCTCTCTCTCTTTATCTCTCTCTCTCTCTCTCTCTCGCTCTCTCTCTCTCTTCCGCGTAAGAACTGCAAGGGGAGCGGGGAGGGGGAATGGAAGCCAGCCAACTGCCGAAATGAATTACTCACGCGAGTTTGGAGATGCGGTGGCAGACGCATGCAGAGACATGCAGAGTGTGCAGTATAACGATGCGATGATAGCATAGAAGCCCTCGCTCCTGCTGCCCCTGCCGCCACTACCGCCATCGCTGCTGCCGCCGCCCCTGCCCTGCCGCTTCCCCTGCCGCTGCTGCCGCTGCTGCCGCTGCTGCCGCTGCTGCCGCTGCTGCCGCTGCTGCCGCTGCTGCCGCTGCCGCCGCTGCTAATCTCCGGGTGAAAAGTCAAATACACCCCCTTTTTTATAATTTTTGGGCCGGATTTTGTCGCGCGAAAAATACCCCTTTACCGGAGATTTTGGGAACGCGCATGCGGTCCCTCCGACCTCGGAGTGGGGGGGCCGGGGTGGAGACACTGTCATGTTGCTCTCTCACTCGTAGTGTGGAGATTTCGGGGGTGTGTAACTCACAGGAGCAGTAGACTAGATCAGGATGGATGGATTGAACTCACAGTATAGATAGAAGAACCATATAAAGGACAGGATAAAATATAGAGGCACATAAATATATCAACACCCCTGGGCACAGCCATCTTGGATCATACATACGTATGGGGTCCAAGGGAAAACGAGGAGTGTATACGCGAAAAGCGATAACACAATATATATAGTATAATAATCAACGCGGTTAGGTACTATTAGTCAGCATAATATTCGAGGAGATTTGAATAGAATGAATAGTCTAAGTTGTCGAAGAGAGGAATATTTACTTAGAAACGAGTTGCATCAGATGGTGCAATAATCGTATCAGCCACGGGTTGCGTCAGCAGGTGAAACGATTGCACCAGCAAACAAAATCTGCGTGTTTTGGCAACGCGTGCTAAACAACGGCACGTGGGGGGGGGGCGGTGCCAGCTAGGTATATAAGGCGCACCGAATCGCAGAGCAGGAGCGTTATTTTTCAGGTCTAGGTAGGAAGAAGAAGAAGAAGAAGAAGAAGAAGAAGAAGAAGAAGAAGAAGAAGAAGAAGAAGAGAAAGAGGGAGAAAGCATTTTAGGTCTCGAGGAGAGAGATAACAGAGGGACGAGAAGCACGGATTTTCAGGAAGGAAAGAAGACTACAGGGAAAATGAGGGCTCAGCCGGGATCTTTCACTACAAGCGGAGAAGAACAGGATTTCAGTTAGGGAGAGCCAGGAGCGACTACGAGGGAGACACCCGTGGAGGCTGCCTAGGTCTACGCGAAGCGAGGACGAACGTGAGAGGGGAAGACGAAACCGGCGACGCGTTAATAGTTCAATATTAGTCTACTGGTTATAGGATCCGCTGCATATACGAATGCAGGGGAATTATTTGTAAACTAGTAGGAAGCAATCAACCAACTATAACCATACAGTTAACCGAATCTAACTGTGTTCTGTTCCACTGGTACTACCTCTTATTTGCTACGTGGCATCACCATCCTGCCTAACGGCAGGAGCGAACACTGAATCCAAACAACTAGGACACGCGTTAACTATATAACGCCTGTCGTACCGTAGTCGGCTACCGCTAGGGCCACTACAGTAGAGCCGAAATCGTTTCTGCTTCCATATGAAAGTGTCAATGACACTGTAGCTCACCACAAAAAAGCCTCGCCGAATAATTCTATTGTCAGCGACGCATAGCTCTGACAGGTCCGAGAGAGACATGTTGCACGTACGACGCACGCACGCTACGCACGCACAGCACGGGCAGACACGCACGCAACGCTGACGGCGGGCACCGCGAGCCCATATCCGCCGTTAACAAAACAGATGCCGTTTAGTTGATGTCAGGCTCAGTTCCGCCCCGCACTGCTGTCCTCGCCTCCCTCCCGTTCAATCGTAGCAAGCAAGTCAAAGTCAACAACAGGCCGCACACAGTACCAGCTAATTGTACCTACCATGGAAGCCAGCTGGCGCGTCTACGCCGGAGAGAGTGGTCGTCCGCGGGTATGTATACCAGCCGAGGAAACGTTATCTGTGTGTGTGTGTGGTGTGGTGAATGTGTGTGTGTGTGTGTGTGTCCTGTGATGTGTGTGTGTGTGTGTGGTGTGCGTGTGATGTGTGGTGTGTGCCT